CATGGACATGTGTGTGCTGGGCAGGGACTTGAAGTTTCGTTTGGGTGAGCAAAACTTGGAAGCTTTCAGATTCGGGTTTTCCCAGATGTGCCATTATGACATCTCTTAATAACATGGAACTTTGAGGAACTTCAAGCCTCTGAGTCTTCTTTCGTTGGGGGTGTCATTTGGAACCCTGACAACAGCTATGCCAAAAGCCTGGACCTCTTATTATTATTATTAAGAACCTATTTTTAGTCTTCCCACTAAAAGGTTTTTCATTTAAACAATAATAATCTGTAGGCTATGTGTAAATCAGCCGTGCTCGTGTTCATATAGCCCTGCAAGCAAATTATCCAGATAGTGCCATTAAAAAAAAATCCTATACCCACTGACTTAATCAAGTTCTAATTTTAGTGCCGAGACCCCTGACAAGATCATAATGATATGGAGATTGAGTCAAGAAGAAATGAATGTGCAACCAGATGAAGCACATCAATAGCACCATAAAAAAAAACTCCCAATGAGACCTTTCCTAGCTTGTTACAAAAAGAAAAAAGAAAAAGAAATCTACGGTAGTTTCCAGAGTGCAGGGAAATATATTAAGCTACCAAGCCCATATTTCTCTATGTAGCTGGGCCAATGGCTGTGTCTTTTTAATAAAATTAAATTCTATAAAGGTAGTCCCTGACTTACAACAGTTCGTTTTGAGACTGTTCAGAAGTTACAACGGCACTGAAAAAGAGACTTCCGACCATTTTTTAACACTTACGAGCGTGGCGGCCATCCCCGTAGTCACGGGATCAAACTTCAGACGTTTGTCAGCTGACTCACACTACGACTGTCACAGTGTCCATCACGTGATCCCCCTGTGACCTTCTGACAAGTCAACGGGGAAACCAAATTCACTTAACAACCGTGTTCTTGTACCCTACGACTATCATTAAGTGTTGTACCTTGATTCTTGACAAATGTATCTTGTCTTTTTACGCACACTGAGAACCTATGCACCAAAGACAAATTCCTTGTGTGTCCAATCACACTTGGGCAATAAAGAATTCTATTCTATTCTATTCTATTCCATTCTGTATTTCTATTCTGTATTTCTATTCTCTATTTCTATTCTATTCTATTCTGTATTTCTATTCTATTCTACCTTAACTTACCTAAAACGCCGAATGGAAGACAGCTGCAATGTAGAAACACAACCTTCATGAAACCAGCTTTTATTTTTATTAGAAACTTCTGCCGAAGTGTTGCCTTACCTGACAGGGTTACTAGTTAGCGACACTCGAAGAGATTCTAGGCAGCTGACAAGTTTTTCATCCACGGTTCCAGATTTTAATTCGTATATGAATTCCTGAGGCAAGATCTGCTTTCTATTCTTGAGGCTTCCCTGAAAGGAGATAACCGTACCCGTCGTGAAACAAATATAAATAAATGTTCATATGCATTTTAAGAAAACACATACCTTCCAGTCAATCTGGGACCTTCTTCGTTTCAAAATCGCATGCTAAATGCATAGATCTACATCCCAATACATTCTATTCTATTCTATTTATTCTATTCCATTCCATATCCCAAAGCTTTGGGACTACTGCAATGCGCTCTACATGGGGCAGCCATTGAAGAGTATTCGGAGACTTCAACTCGTCCAGAACGCAGCCGCGTGAGCGATAGTGGGTGCACCTCAGTACACCCACATTACATCTATCCTCCGCGAGCTGCACTGGTTACCGATCGGTCTCCGATCGGATACGCTTCAAGGTGCTAGTCGTAACTTATAAAGCCCT